TAGTTGGATAGTAAGCTAAATTGGAAATGTATAAGTGAAAAGGACCTGTGTAGCTTTTTATTCTTGCAAGATGTTCAGCAAAAAATTGGGAATATTACACATTAAATATTCACGGTGATTGTGCATTCAATTCGTAGCCAATGCCCAACAATATTGTGGGCTATATATGTGACAAATCTTCTAGATGGTTTTAGCCCATGGGTTCTCAATAATACGGTATCACAATGGGCCTATAGGCCTAAGTGGATCCCCCTGGGATTGGCGGTACAACCTAACCTAACCTAGATGAGAAATCAGTGAACAAATTTGAACAATATATAACATTTATAAAAGTTTGATGGTTTTAATGGAGCTTCTTTTCTTTACAGATGAATATAAAAAACTAACAAAGTTTAATGGAGATTTTTTAAATTGTCTATAAATAAATTCAATGTACCAAATTAAATAATATTGTTTTTTATATTTGATTGTAATAATATTTCGCTTCGTTTATATATTTTTCTAATTAATATTAAATAAAATTCAAACAATTTAATAAATATAATTTGTATTTCAATCTCCAACTCTAAAGCGTTATTTTGATAACCCTAATCAAAATCAAAAAAATATATATCTGGTTAAAATTCTTTATAATTTTCATTATTTATTACTAATTTATGGATTTATTAATGCAATGCTTTTAGGCACAGTGTAGACTTCGCTTCGTTTAAATATTTTTCTAATCAAAGCGAAAAATATTTTTTAAATCTAAACTAATGCACTGAGTAAACTTCTATTTATCAGTGAATTACTGACCTGCATTTTATCAATAATATTTATTTTTTATTTTTTAATTAATCATAAAAAAAATGTTATCGCTTCATGTGGTTTTTTTTTCGAAACAAAAGTATAAAAGTAATTTCTAAATATTTTTAAAAATTTTTGTGTCTCCCAAATGTTCCAATATTGAATACAAGCTTTAATTATTTTTAAAAATAAAATATATTTCTAATTAACAGAAATTGAATAATAATTGAATTTTTTTATGTGTACTTCACATAAATGTCATATAAAATAATTGATTTACTTACAGTATTTTTTTTTATTTTTTTTTTTTATTTTTTTTTAAATTTCTAATTTAACTTGGTAATAAAACTTTAAAAATAAAATAAATAAATTTGAAAAAAAAATTAAAATAATTTCACAAAAATTCCTAAACTTTCATATAAAAAACTCAACACAAACACACACACACACATTCGAAGCACCAATAATGAAAAAACAATCAGGAAATTATTTGCTGGCCATAGAGTGATAATATTTGGTGGATTTTTTTTTAATTAAACAAACCATTCCACTTAGTACATATATCGTTAATATAAATATTATTTATTTTAATATTCATGCATATTAATTTAGAATAAATTTTTAAAGGGAATGCAGATTTTTTCACAAAATCTATTTAAATATTTTAAAAACTTTTAATTACTTTACTATCACTGTCTTCTTTTTAAAAAATTATTTTAGTTTTATGCATATATTCATTGAATTTATATTTTTTATTTCATATATTATTAATTTTATATAACTTTAATATTTTTTAAAGAATAAACCACACACTTTACCTACTAAAACTCTTCCTTTAACTGATTTTATTAGCGAGAAAAAAACTTTTTCTTGCTTTGAAGGTGACCTTTTAGTTTATCAAACAGCTGATTTTGTGCTTTTCAATTTCTATAAACAAGTTGAAATGACATTTTTGTTTATATTTTGTGACGTCATGTGTATGTGTTAGTTTCTCGTAAACATAAAAATTAGAAGCAATAATCGACAACAACAATGCTCAATGAAAGTGAAAGTTGTGGGTAGTTTTGGTTTAAGTGAACAAAAGAAAAAAAAAACAAAAACAATTTAGTAATGAAATGTTATAATCTGTGTCAAGTATACCAGTTACTTGTAACCGGAATTTTTTCTTATTGTTTTTGTTGTTAGTTTTATTTAGTGTGTGTTTTGTTTACATTTTACTTCATTGATTCATGCGGCGTCTACATGTGCTTCAAAAGCGCGTTAACAATGAAAAGCTCAGTTGCAATGATTTAAGCATTGCCATCACTAAAAAATATCAAATAATTAAATATTTAACAATGACCATAATTTGTAATATATTTTATTTATTTAATTAATAATTTAATAAATTATTTTATTATTTTATTTTTTTATTCTATTCAGTTGTTTTAAATTTTTTTCCCTGATGATGATTTTAAAAAACCGAAACGTCGGAAATAAATATTAAATAAGTAAAATAATAAGAAAAATTTTTTATTAAAAAACCAAATTACAAAATCTGACTGATAGCCCAACACTCATTTATAATAAAGTTAATAAATTATATTATGGGCTAGTTAAATTTAATATTGGCTAAGTCATATACTTACCTTGACCAGGTAATCTCAACTAAGATATCATGTGATGAGGCTGGATATTATTTTAGGTGTATTTGCCGCGATTACAAATGCGACAAAAAGGAACAAGTCTCTTGCCTCAATAAGCATTAACTTACAGTCGGTTTTGGTTTTAAGAATTTTAACTTTTATTTTGATGGTATTTTTTGTGAATTCCTATACGTATTTCTGCAAATTCACTTTTAATAATATTAGCAATTCGCCTGATGTAGGCAAAGGCGAATTTGCCGAAACACGTGTAGAGATATACAAAATACAACGTACGAAATAAAAGTTAAAAATATTAAACAACAAAAACCGACTAAAAACTTTTACATATTTATAAAATTTTTTTTTAAATATACGCTTAAAATATTTATATAAATTAAAATATTTTTTTTTTAAATTTTTAAATTTATAAAACTTTAATTTTATTTGAAATATTGTTTTAAAAAAAACTTTCGGCAGAAAACTGCAATATTTATAAAAATTTCCAATGAAGGTTCACAATAGATCGCTTACCACTCTGGTAAATAATTTGTCTGCACTCTCGTAGACGATTAGAGACTTCGTAACAAAGAATACCTTTGCTTCGTAACTAGCTTGTCAGAGCAATAGAGTAGTGTTGTTGTTTTGGTAAAAAATTAGAGATTTTAACAAGAGACTTGTTTTTTTTCCACATTTCAGAGCGACCGAATGCACCTATTGACTTAGGTCTTTAAGCGACATACTGTTTCCTTGTTTTTTTTTTTTATTTATTAAACATATTTAACATATTAAACATTTCTTTAAATTTTATATAACTTAGACTACTTTTGCATGCAGAACACTGTTTTAATTATTAAGATATTATGTGTGAAGCATCAGTACAGTTCATAGCATTGATGTCTTCTAATTTAATGTTTAAGGTGATGTTTCGTTCTCAAGGCTTCCAACAAAAATACATGAATTCATTCACTAGTACTCTATTTTAGTAAATTTGTGAGTTTTTGTCAAAAAAAAACTTTAACCGGTTGAAGAATTATAACGTGGTAAAGACAAACTGTCCTTGAGATAAAGACATAGATATACTGCTAATCACACACAAAACAATAGGGCTACATATTGAGCTATATATTTCATTTCATATATTTCATTCCTCCTATATATCTTATGTGATTTGTTATAAATATATAAAGAATCGTATATATCTAAAAAATTTATATAAATCGGTCATACCAGTTTAACCAAATACGCTCTTTTTTTCATTCTCCTATATACCATATAATATTATTTATATATATACAGCATTTATCCTCATTGTGCTCTCCATGTTCAAACTTCAAATTCTAAAATTGCTTTTAAGCGTTATCCGTTTATAATACAATGGGCTCATATGGTCTGAGTACAATTATACCTAATCGTAAAGTATGATAAAATTATTATTGCACTTAGGCAATGTAAGTCCATTGTAATTAAAACGAATAATGCTTGAAAGAAACATTTATTTTAGAGTTTTAAGTATGAATCTGAAGAGCGGGATAGAGGAATTACATGTGTACAACTCTTATATTAGTGGAAAAATTACATATAGTGCTATTTGATGTAAGAAAAGCTTTATAGCAACATGTTGATAACTTACATAGACAACAGATTCTTAGATATATTTGTAAACATAAATACTAAGTTTCTTCTAACTTTTACCTCTGATTACTGGCATGAGACCAGTAATAACTATTAAATTTTGACACCTCCGGTCTTCTCAACTCATTCCTTAGAGGTGATTTTAGTGCGTTGAAATCTCACACTTTGGCTTTCGATGCTTTCCACCTACTGTAAAAAAAATGGACTCTCTGTATTACTGATTAACTTATATTTTAATATTGTTTTTATTGTCGTTCATGCTGATCCATTAGCAAAAATAGACAATAGTTGACTAAACTTGCACAATTAGGTAGGATGAGATAATGATAGGTTATAAAGTGAAAGTAAGAATAAACTGGGTCCACATAATAGAATTTTTCTAAATCTCAACAGAGCGATACCATCAATTTATTGGTTACAAGTTTTTATATACAATTGGACATGTAAACAAAAAAGGGACGTTATGAGAATATTGTATTGTTATTAAAAATCATCGCTTATATAAATATTATGTCAAAATATTATATTAAAAATAAAAAATAATGTATTTTTTGGGTTTAAATAAATTGTCTTTGAATCGTTTTTATTTTTATATATTAATTTGTATATAATTATATATAATTCTATCACTAAATAGTTTTATTGCTCAATTAAATAATATATATACGCATAATTTAGAAAAGCTTTAACAACTCGCTCATAAATTTTAACAATATTAATTTCATATTTAATTTAACTAACTAATTTATTATATATTTGTTTAAGTACGTTTGCGTCACTCACTGAAAAGGCTTTTTATTATTATATTGTACATATATATATATATATTCATTTACTTGCTATTTTATAAATATCAACATATATAAATATTTGGCTAAATAAAGTTTTTTTTTTCAAAAATATATCTACTCATAAACAATAACATATTCCTTAAAAAAATTTGTAACAATTCCTTTGGTGAAAATTCATTAAATATGCACATTACACTCGCTTAAAGCTAAAAATATTGTTAATAAACTATTGGAGACACAACACATTTGTGAATGTACAAACGATGGATCATTTGTGCACTGTGAATACTAAAGGCGCCGATTCATCTTCTTGCATTTGTTCAGATGTCAGTTTGTTGGCATTATTTGTTTGATGTTGACCTTCGATATCTTCATAATCAACAGACGAGGAACGTGTCATTTTGTATCTATATTGTCCAGACTTCTTGTCATTTTTCGTGATGACCAGAGAAGCTGGACGTGGTCCTATAAAAAGTTTTTATTATGTTATTATGTATATAAATAAAAATTTTTTTATAATTTAATAAACTAAATTCAGCTTATTTTTTTACATAATTATTTTTGTCTTACACACATTTTTACTAAAACACACTTCAATAAGGAGTATGGATTTCAGGAAATCCATAAAGGACTATTGACAGAATATACACTAATTTCTAATACTATTAAATTTTGCACACAATTTAGTTTCAGAGATCGTTTACATCGGATTATAATATGTGATACTCCAAGTTATTGAATCTTATAAATTACATGAGAAAGAGATAGAACTGTGGCCATCCTTAAACTACAAAAAAGTTTTTGTCAAGGCTTTGTTACTATTATTGGATTCAAATTTCGATTGAAGAATATTTTCATGTCATGGTTATTTACAAAAATAATATTTTTAATATTCTACATTTCCTGCAAAATACATAATCACTACATGGTAGAGATGTAAAATACAATTTGCAAGTAGTCTCAAAAGAACGCGCAGATCTCTTAGTTTTTTATATAGTTCCTTTACAAACCCTCAATTTTTGTGATATGTTTTTTAAGAACAATATACAGAAATCGTAAACAATATGTAACATAATTATGTTTATACAAAGTTAATTTATGTAGTTTTATGAATATATCACCAATATTCGAAATCGAGTTGTAAATAGATTTGACAAATAAAGAAGTTAAGACCCCTGTTATTTTAATGAACTGGCTATATAATTTTCACATTTGTAATATCAAACAGACGCTTAACAAAAGGAAACCCTAAAGTGAATAAACACATTCTAACGAGTACTGTGCAGAGATAAGTGACACTTCTCTTCATCCTATGAGCTACAACTAATGTAATACTTGTTTAAAAAACCCATGACTGTTTATGATACAGTGTCCCAGCAGTACGGTGATTGCGTTGGACAGCGACTGGCGAGTAGAACCCATTTAAATCATACAAGCCTTTCTTAAGCTGTAATTTTGAAATAATCAGTGCTAACATTCCGTACAAATAAGGCTAAGCCAATGCACGCATCTATTGGAATTAATAGTATGGAAAGTTATGTGGCACTTCTAGTTAGTTCGTTACTTATAAGGAGTTTGTTTAAATTAGACTAAGGCGATGCCTAAATCCATTAGTATTGATAATATAGGAAGTTAAACGCAAATTCTAACCAGTTCGTTCCCTTTAAAAGTGCCAGAAATCGTACTTTAGGTATGGCCCGGTATACATAACAAGTTAACCAATGATTACACCGACATCTCACTCAATTTTGTTAAACATGCTGATACAAGCTTAGATATTGTGAAAAAACTGGCAGATTGGCAGTCACTAAAAGAAATTTCTCTCAAATTTTTCACATTAACAAAGACATTTAATGGGGTAATGGTCTGTAGCAGGTTCGGAAGGCGCGTGCTGACCGTTGTCAGCACCTCCACTCGGAGGCATATATTGCCCATTGTGATGAATGGTCTGTAGTAACATCTGATACAACTATATAATCACAACATACTGATCGTATAATTATATAAAAGTTTTGTGTATATTATTAATATATTATAATTTAATGTATTTATATAGATCTTTCAACATTAATATATCACAGTTAATAGGGATATCGATGGTTATCAACCCCTGCTACAACTATGCAATCACTATATTCCGATTGTATTATTATATAAAAGTTATGTCTATAATCTATATACGTCAACTGTAAAGGTTATAATAACTTTGTTTATATATCTGTAACAGAGAGAAAGAAACATCTGAGTGTGTACAATATACATATTCTTGATTAGCTAAAGTGAAAGAAACATATATGTGTACATAATGTATACATGCATAATCTTAACTAGCTGGATAAACGTAATTGATATACCCATAAACATATATCTGGATGTATGTCTTCTTCAATAAGAAAGAGAAAATCCTTTAAATAAATATTAGAATGGCTAAAACTGATTGATTATATCTTACAACTGTCATCGAAACTGTAAAATTAATTATAATATTCTTCGTGTTTTTTTTTTTGGTTATAAAGAATTTTGATTACAATACGGATAAAGTATAGAAAACAAATGAAATTAATTATATCTAACACACATTATATTTATATCACATTTAGTGATTCAGGTAATGTATTTGCGATTAAAACTTCCATCGTTTAAAAATTAAAAGCTGCTATTAATATTAATAGCTCTTTTAATACTTTTTATAATCCCCATTTTATATAGGGATTTATATTATATGTTAACATACATTTAGTTATTCCCTACTTTAATTATTTTCATAATTAATTATTATTGTTTATTATATAATTATTAATAACACTGTTTTAAATTTGTATATAGTTCTTATATAAACTTATGTTTATAATCTATACAATACAATATAAATTACAATATAAAAATTTTCCTTTCTTAAGATCTTAAGAGTTTTCTTTACCTGATGGAGGCTTATTAAGACGTCTTTCAACAGCTATGGGTTTTGGCCCTGTTGTATTATTTACCAAAGATATTTCCGATATATATTCAACATTTGCTATTATTTTGTTATTGTTGTTTGGAATTGTTATATCACTTGTTGTTTGTTTGATCGATACACGTTTATCGCTCGTCTTCATACTGCCTTGTGGTTTCAATATAGAATCGCGTCGCATTGGTTCGGGTGATGATGTTACCAACGTTGTTGGATTTAAGGTGGATGATAATACATTCGAGTTACCATATAGTTCACTGTCTGTAGAAAAATATAAATGAATAAATTATTATAATAATTATTGTGCTAAAAATATGTGCAAATTTTTAGCATTAATCTTTTAATAGGTGGCAAAACATTGTAAAAGCAATTGGGGTAACTGAGTGGTAGTGGCAGTTCTTAAGAATAATATTAGCAATAAACTTATCGAAAATATATGTGTGATATAAGATATTTTATAATGAAAGAAGATAGTGAAAGAGTCATATTGAACAACCAGTACACTAATCTAGGTGTGTGCTTGCTCTTTTACATATTGATTACTTTACAAAAAAAAATCTATTTCTGTCTCTCTCTTTACTTATAGCACTATTTCTACCTCTATCTTACTCCTGTGTTAGTTTAATATCAATTTTTAACAATAGCTTAATAAACTATTAACAATAAATTGTTTTTAAAATTTTATTTTCTCATTTACGAGATTTAATGGCGAATAAAGCATATCGAACTGTATTAAGAACCACAAATAACCAATGTTAGTGTGCAAATGCTGTACAAATAACAACGTGTGAATTAAATCTTATGCATTTTGCAGTAACCAATGATAAAGCATTTTTAACCAATGAATATGAATCACATATAACCCCAAGAACTTCCAACACCAAGAAATAAATAAACAATTTGTAAGCAACTTTTGCATAGTGAAAGGTGTTTAACATTTAAATGCAGTTTAAATTAAAAATACATTCATAAACAAAATTCACAAATTTTAACTCGATTTATTATTATATAATATTATACTATTATTATTATTATTATTATTATTATTATTAGTATATTTAGCTTAATTTTACAATGCTTTTTCAAAAACTTGCTCATTTTTAATTTACAAAGATACATTTTTTATTTCACATGTACATTTTCTATTTTTCTTCACAATGAAGAGTCAGTAAAACATTGTAAATATTTTGTAAGTATTATTACCAAGCTTATTTAACATAACATGCAATATGATATATACTTAACATATATATATATATTTTGGTTACAATTTCAGTGTTATATAGGTTTTAACTATGTGCTGACGACATTCTGTTAAGATTCATTCGCCTGTTCAATTATTTGTTTAAAAAAATATTGTTTATGTTTAAAAAAATCTATTTAAAATATAGAGTAAATGATTTAAACAATGAAAACTAATCATTAAACTCTTTTAGGAACTTAAATAAAACATATAGTGTATACACATATATTATTAAACCACGGCATAAAAACATGCAATATGTGTTGTTATTTTTTATTTTATTGTTTTATGAAATTTTATTAATAATATAATATTAAAATTATTATTATTTGTAATAATCGACTTAAGGTGGGCTATTTTTCTTTAGCTTGTAGTGTAAAAAAGATTTAAAAAGAAATATTAAATTAATAATTAATAATAGTTTTGTATTATTATAAACTTTAAATGGAAAGGGGTTAATAAAAATTGTTATAATATACGTAATTAAATAAATTTTGAATTGGTATATATTTTAAAAAATTTTTGTATTTTTAACGTTTTAAATATTTTGTAATTTCTTTTTTTTGTAGTTGTATAATTCATTATATTGTAATTACAAGTTAAGTATACACAATTTCTTACAATTTGCAACATGCATTAAAGCATATAATTTTCATAATTCTATATATGAAATAGTCAGAACTTTTATAATTGTCATTCTGATGATATACAATTTATATAAAATATAGATTTTTTTACATAACAGTTATTAACAATCTTGCCATATATGAAAACATAAGAGATAAGTGAAGTGCATAATAAGGTGTAACATAAAATACATATTTTATTATACAAAGTTTTTAACATAATCTGAATGTATATATGATTTGCATTATAAAATGATTTAATTAATTGTACAATATTTATTATATATTGTTAATGTGTAAGTAGTAAATGAGTTAAGTTTAGTAAATGATTTACCTAAACTTTAAATAAATTTTAAATTCAAGATATAACCTTTAAGCAATATAATCCAATTAGTTGCTTAAATGATACTAATTTATTTAAATTCTTTACAGCACTTATGTCTTAATATTAGTTTTAAGTAAAAATTGCACATATTACAATCATATATTAATTAACTAATGCTTTTTATATATATTGAAACATGTTTTAATAACAATTTTTGTCATTTTAATTACTATAAAAATCTTATAAATATATTTATTTGTTTTTGACATATATTAAGTCCCTTGTCTTTTACTAAAATTATGCTAAAGAAGGAAGTAGTTAGTGTATAATGTGGCACCATATTAAATGTGTTTGTGTGTGCATAGTTTTTATTAATGTATATAAATATGTTTTTAATCGTATATGAAATAAATAACTAAAATGAAAAAGTCTAAATTATATAAGAAAATACTATAAGGCTGATTAGTTCAACACTGCTTTACTTAACAAATCGTTTTGTAACTATTGTCGGTATTATTAGTTACACTATTGCATGTAAAATTTTTTTATTGCTAACTTGACGTATGCTTTAAATTTATTTTTTAATATATATAAATATATACTATAAATATTTAAAGGATATGCAAATAATTGGAAGATTTGATTTCATCTATCATAAGTATAAAAATTGGTTTTGTTGTGAAACCTTAGCTTTGGTGACTTACAACATTGAAGTCTCCACTACATATTTGTTTCACATAACATCACAACTGAAACCAGCCTCTACCCAACCAATTTTGATGTTTCGGCCAATTCTATAATTTTGTATCATCAACATCATGAATACCATTGCTATTCGGTATAACAACAACAGTGGGCACACCATTTGGATGATAAGTTGTGTTGTGCATAGGTGCTGTTAATGGTTCGCACAATAAATCATCACCAACAGAATGATGGCGCTGATAGCGCTGATTAACAGCCGCTAATAGCTGCACTTCAGCAATATTATGACCTTCACCAACTAAACTATGACGTATACTATACACATCACCATCCTTAAGATACCCGCCACCACCACTATTATTACCAGCATTACTTAAATACAATCCCCCCGTTAGACTTTGCAATGAGTTTGTACTAGCGCTGCGATTGTAGTCTGTATTTAGGTGTTTTTGTGTATTGATATTGTTGTAATTGTTGTTTGAAGCATATTGTAGTATATTATTAGTTTTTTGTTCATCGGATGGAGAACCGAATTCCGACGATTCGCGTATTGGTGCTAAATGTAGTTGTGCAGCTGCAGCTAGCATCTCACCTGTAGGCATGCCTGATGGACTGGGGCGTTCGCTGCTAGCAACATCCTCAAAAGCTTCTTCGTTTAGTGTTTGTAATGCACCACAAATCATTTGTTCTTCCAGAGTAACCTATAAATATAAATATATTATAATCCCTCTGCACTTTATTTAGTTTAGGATATTATTGAGAGTTCAAATTTATAAAAGGACTAGAGCTTACAGAGAACGAGTAAGTAAAGAAAGGGAAACTTAATACATTTATTTAATTATAATTTTCCAAAAATATTATTATTTTTTTGTTTAAATCACAAAGTCTACAAAACTGCAATTAAATATTTAAAGGTAGGAAATATATTGGAATTTTCAAAAAGATAGAATGGTTATAATATTTAAAATTAACAACAAAATTATATAGTAAAAACATATTAATAGTTTTAAATTTTATTTTATTATAAATAAAATATTCAGTATTATGTGAAATAAATGTTAAAAAAGAGAAATATAACAGTATTTCTCTATTAACTTTAAATTATTAAAACATACTTCTCATAAATCGAAAGTTTTATTAATATACTAAATAATTTACTAATTCATTAATTAATTTTTCAGCATTCAAATAAGTATAAAGGAATATTACTCAATCGAATAAATTTAATATTTAAAATGTAAGGAAAGTCACAACATAAATACACAATCGGAAAAAACAAGTGCTTCAAAATGTTCGAGTATCGAACTGTTTGAGCAGTTCGATTGTTGTTAAATTTCGAATATTTAGATCGAATAATTCAAGTGTTAAAAAATGCTAGATGAGTTACTCGAACGTGTCATGTTTTATTTTATATCTGTTTTCTTTTATACAAATATGTATAAGACTATATGTTCGAGCACGCTATGATGTTCAAACATTTCGGAGTAGCACTTTTTGCTGAAAATACTCGACTACAAGCATATTCGAACATTCAAATGTTTAAAGCTTCGAACTCGAATGAAATTTGAAGCACTAGTAAAAACAAAATTTATTAAATACACAAAGGAAATATACAACATTTGATGAACACATAAACAAAATGTAATTTTTTTTAATGTTACCTGTAAATATTCGTAATCATGAACTTTTGGCTGCTTTTCGAAATTTTGTTATTGATGGAAAACAAAAAATATGAAAAAAATGTTAAATTGATGAATTTCTATAAAAACAAATCATATGTTATGCTAGATAATGTCTTATCACATGGTATGCCTATAGAAATCAAAACTAACTCTAAATAAACTTCAATTTTAAACAAAACAAATTCGAAATTTTATACATAGTAAAGATGGTAGCAAACTATCAATGGTTCTGATGATAGTTTTGTTAAGCCATCGATTTACTATAGCCTCTCTTGTACAAAAAAATAAATAATTTGATTTTTGATTTCATAAACTTTTTATAGGTTAATGATATATTTAACTAACTTTGCTTATTAAACTAATAATTTTGGTATCTAAACTAATCATTTTTCTTTTTTAAAAAATATTAAGCTACTTTAAAAAAAAATTTTTTTAATATATAATAAATATTATACAAATATATTAATATATAATATATATTACATATATGTATTTATATTTAAAATATAATATATGTATAAACAAAAAAATTTGTATATATATATATATATATTGTATTGCTTTTATATATTTCTGTCTATTTTTTTATTTTAGAGGAATATTTCTGTTAGAACCTATACTAATATTGTGCATTTCATGAAGTAATTATTCAAATAATTAAATTGTAGTCAATTATTTATGTTGCCGAATTAATATATATTTATGTATTATTTTTATTTATATACATATTGTATATATTTAATAATGTGACATGCCTGTTTTTCCATGTGACTTGTTGAATTTTTACGCGAATGCTGCGTATTCGGTATTAAATTATGAGAATCTGTACTGTCTTTGTTTATTATAGGATTTGCTGGAACATCTGCAATAGCTGGAGTGGGCTTAAATTTGCGTTGCACTTTTTCACAATCTCGTAAAGTGGTAACAAGTAAACGGAACAACTCCCAATGACCAAAACTCAGTCCAAGCACCTTTAAATACGTTTGTTTTTTCTATATTAGTAAAACTATGCTATGCATGTAAAAAATAACCTACAGTTTTGAGTTCACTAAGATCGCAGTATTTCAACACACGACCTGTGATAGAATTCTCTTTTAATATTGGTGCCAATTTTAATAAAGCAGGTCTTAAGTCTTCAACACGTTCCACCAAACTAATAACACCCTCAACTGTTAAATCGGAAAGCCTTGTTTGTAGTATATCCTCCTATTAAGAAATAATTTAAATAAACAAAATGTTAATGAATTGGAAAATGATTGATATTAATTTGGCTTACAGAAAATGATTCATTTGGCGAACTCAGTAAAGGTGTGGTTTGTGGTTCCAAACTTGCACCTATGCTTCGTTGTCTTAGTTCATTAAAAGTGTAATCATTAGAAAACATGTGATAAGGCGGATAACCAGCTGGTGAAGTCATATACGTAGAAGGTGTTGTTGGAATGCGTACCGGTGGTAGCAAATTAGGCTTTGTTTGTATCATAATAGGACCCTCGTCTTCAATATTTTGTTGATCCTCTGCAATAAAGCAATTTATTTATTAAAAAAACAATATTTACTTAAATAATTTATTTATACCTTTTAATACTTTTCTTAAGTATGGATCTAAATTAATTGTAAATGGAAGAAATATACGTAAATCAGCTACGAGCAGATCAGACTTATGCAATTGCAAAAAGGCATCTAATTTGCGTTCATCTCTATCCAGTTCAAGTAGAGGTGCAGCTTCACGCAAACAAGCAATTTTTATGCGTACCCTTTAAAAACATTTGATGAACATTTTTATACATCTTTTTAATCTCAAAGAATATTAAACAACATACTTTTCATATACACTTTGCAGGGACATGTTATCATCATATGAGTCCATACTTTGATCATGTTGCAAAACAATCATACTGGCTCTTAGTGGCCACTGTTCCGTCAAATTTATCCACGAACTTAAACGATACCAACTAAAGTCAATTTGGAATGCTTTGAGTAAACGCACTAATAAATTGTTAAATTTAGTAAAATAATTTATTATAAGTATATAATATAATTAACAAACCTGTTATATAAATTACATTCATTAAACGTCTTATACTTCTTGGATTGACATCACTAAAGTAATCATCTGTCAGCATTATTTTCGATAAGTCTAACACACCTTGTGGATTTTGACCTAACCGATGTAAATTTGAGCCAATTGAACTAGCTACTGATTCAGATAACCGCAATTTTTTTCCAGCAGTTCGAGCAGCATTATGTGGTGTACGCAACTTCTCTTGGCTGGACATTATCTCCGATGCATTTGAAAGGCGACGTGCGGAAACAGAATGACCTAGCGTAGGACCATCTTCATTCGGAAATTCACTATAGTTTCTTTTAAAAAGCAAAGCTGTCATTTGTGCTCGCTGTACTTTACGTAAACCAGAGTTTTGTAAATAAACAGGCAAATGCACAAGATTCCGCAGAAAATCATGACCACCAATACCACCTTCCGTAAATAAACGACGACTATTTGCTTCGGCAGCTTTGGCAATCACATGGGGATCGACGGCAATGAGTAGCACAAACGGTCGATTTGGAGATGAAAGCAATGTTTGAATAGCATTAAGCATACTCAATATACGCTCAGTATCACAGGAATCCAGAGCATCAACAACGCCAACCAAACGACTTTGTTGATTTGTAAAAGCGTCTAGGCACTATTTAAAAAAATATCTTATTTAGCAACTTTTTATATTATTCACAATATCTAATATTTACCTTAACCATATCTGTCATCAACGCTACTTCTGCACCTAAAGCAGTAAGTGGTGCACCTTCATTGCCACGTACTGCTTGTTTGAGATGCCGCCCTTGAGATACAAATAGTGAGCCAAACGCTTTTGCCAAGACGTGCAAGTTTGTACAGATTATTGTAACTAATACCGCACAAATGACATATATCGAGACAAGAATATGTTGCTGTTCATCTGCGGTCGCAAACGTAAAATAAGCCGTAACTAACGATATGCCAGCTATTAATGTCAACAAGCCCAGTTCAAATATAATTACGATTGGTACACAACACATGCGTCTCCAACGCCAACCTGCAGACGATTTGAGTACTTTAGGTCGAAATGCGCGATATAAACGTGTTGAAAGCCAACCATAATGAAATTCGAGAGTTTCGAAAAGTGAAGTCAACATTTGTGCAACTGATCCTTCACCAGTAGGCGATGCACTACCTGCTTCAGCAAAATGAAAGCGTACTGGTTTAGCTTGAGGTTCAGCTTGAGGGCCTGGTGGATGACAGAAAGCAACTTGCAGTATTAAACGTAGTCGTCCTAGGCGTTTTTCGATACCATGGTGAACGGAATATGCCCAATATAAATCCATCTCATAATTTGCATATCTAATTCCAGCAAGTACCAAGTATGTCAGTACCAGAAATATTACACCAGCTATACTACCCCACATTACTGATTGTACGGAGAGTCCAACTATAGTAGCAAGTATCAAAGCAATATGCAAACAAACCAAAAAAAGTAGACCGCTTGTTCTGATTGGTGGTTCTGCCCACTGTCGGGCGAAATTATTCATTTCCTCACGCAATTTACTAAGTAAGAAACTTTTACCGCTACCCCACTTCGCATATAAGCCAACAGTAATAGGTGTTGTAAGCGTAGGTTCACTAAGGACATCAGCCAATGCAGATGAATACAATTCATAGCCGAGCATACCCTCTGAGTCTTCATTTGTGTTAAGTCTTCTAGCTCCAAATACTTGACCCAAAATTGTCTTTTGATGATTTGTGTCAATACCATAAGGAGTTTCACCACTTTTATTTGCACGATAAAGTAACTGACTATTTTTGGGATTTCGTAACAGAGCCTCCACAATGGCTTTTGAACGTGCACGCATAGCTATATGTAGACAAGTGTCGCCACGTTTATCACTTGCGGTCACTTTGGCTTTACGATCGAGCAACATTTGTACATTATCTAAGTTGCGATTACGAACCGCTCTTAATAAAGCAGTATCCCCATCTTTGGTCGAAGCTTCGAGATCCGGATTGGTGGGTAATAATATTTTAACAATATGAGAATGTCCTTTTTCCACAGCCGTATACATAGCAGTTTTACGATCTTTGCCCTGAATATCCACGTCTGCATGTTTCTTTAGTAATGCTTCCACAAGACCACGATGGCCCCCTTTCACTGCATGAATCAATGGAGTATCTCCTGCGCGATCTTGTATATTAATGTAAGCACCAGCAGCAATAAGAGCAGCTGCTATTTCCTGTTTATATTATCACAATTAGTTTGTTCAATTTTTTATTTACTGAAAAATTAATTCAATTACCTGAAAACCTTCTCGACTTGCAATCGATAATGCTGTCATACCATCTTTATCTAATGCATTTACATTAGGTCTCTTTTCCAATAAAGACGTAACACAATCCGTATGACCACCAGTAGTAGCTACCAGTAAAGGTGTCCAAGAATACATACCGGCCGTATCCACATTAGCACCAGCCTTAAGTAGCGTATCCACAATTTCGACATTACCCTTACGACAAGCCCAGACCAATGCTGTAGTACCATATTTATCACCAACATTTATTTTAGCACCTCGTTGAACTAATAGTTCCACAATTTCTTTAAAACCACGACCAGCTGCCCATAATAATGGACCCAAATGATAATTACCATGCGAATTAACGTCAGCACCTTTTTCCAATAAAAATCGTACTAATTCTGTATGACCACGATAAGAGGCCCACATAAGCGCTGTCCACCCACCCTAATTTATAATAAATTTTATATATTAATAAAAGAATTTCATCTTGTTAAATATTCTTTAAATACCATTTCACGATGTTCAATATCAGCGCCATGATCCACAAGTAATTGCACTATATCTAAATGACCACCTTTGGCAGCACAAAGCAATGCAGTCCAGTTGTCATTATCTTCAGCTTGCACCTCAGCCCCACGTGCTAAAAATTCACGCACAAAGGCAGTTAGACCGCGACCAGCAACAACCATAAGAACTGTGGTACCATTCTATATAAAAATTATTTAAAAGAATTTTTTTTTTTTTTTAATAAATCTATTGTTGGACATTGGTTTATTTTTAACACTTACCTCATCCCGATCATCTACGGGTACATGACGACTATCTAGAATAGCACGCAAAGCTGATATATCGTTAGAATCAACATATTGGAGCAGCGCTCGATGTCCTAATGAACCCATAGAATCTCCGTACCGATTGAGGTTCTAAATGCAAAAAAACCAATTATTATAAATAAAACTTAATATTATAATATATACATAATATATACATTAGAAGTCAATTATTTTTTATAGAATCATGCAAATTTTGTACTTATAATTAATGGAGCAGTTAAGATATTAATCTTTATTGCAAGACTTTAGGTAGATTTGCCAAAACGTAAAAGCTTTTAGAGCTGTTAATATTGTGTTATTATATTAATCTAGGAACTTGTATTACAACTCAACTTAGATGTTACATATATATAAAAATATTCAAATAAAAACATTCATTATTTGAAATAAATTTTTACATTAGCAAATACATTTAATTTCGGTTAAAAAAAAAATAAAAATAGCTTATAAATTGTTTAAACAAAGAGTAATTATTTTTATTTAAATAAAAAAAAAACAATGTTAAGTGATATATTTAATTACTTATTATTACAAATTGTCATTATGACATATATTAATAATTATTTTTATTATATATGAAAACAGATATTAGATATTAATAATATTAATAAGTATAGTATTATAGAGAAGTGTAGTTTTTGGTAATATATATAGTTCAGAAGAAGTGAATATTTGATCAAATATCCTGGTGTAAACAATAAATATCTGATAAAAGGTTTTTAATAACAATATTTTATTAATTCCAAAAGCATGGACCAGTATTAAAATTTGAAACTTTTTAAGACGGTTTTTTGGAGAGTTTGTATATATATATATTATATATGAGGGTTTCTGTTTTTTGTTTTAAATCACTTTCAGAAAATATATAGTGATGAATTGAAAATTATTATTTATCCCCTAATTATAATGTTAAATCATTTCGCACGAACGCCTAGAGCGTATAGCTCTTGCCGAAGAGGGGGATCTATTATTATTATGTTTTAATGCATATACTACATATTAATGTTAGGGAATCAGGCACACCATTCCGACGATGGTCGGTCTGACAGTGCATAAGGCATTCCACTCCCTCACCACAACAAAAAAAACACCTAGTAACTGTTGGATACCGTTACCCAGTTCTATACAAGATAAAGCTCACTAAAGCCTTAAGAAGTAGGGGCACTATGACTCTACAAAAACTATTATGGCATTCTTAATAAATCCTTTCTATTTTAATTAACAATTTTCGCAATCCTTGACAGGAAAAAATAGCATGCCAAAGAAAGTTTTTATTTCGGTAATCGCTGGTGATAGAAGATTTCAGCGAATTTGATGAATAGTCCAGCTACCAACAGCTGAACTCAATTACAGACTGAGTTGGATGGGGGATATGCATCTGTAAAGTTAAATTAAGTTAGTTACTTAGTTAAATTAAAGAAATAAGCTAATTATTTATTGTAAGACTTAACTAGCAATAATTTATAAAGTAAGGATAAACTGCATCACTAAGCATGGAAACATTTTATTGTAAGATCCCTTGTAGGTAGACTATGTGGAGTTTGACATATAGGGTCATTCTCAAACCAAACCTAAGGACTAATGCATAATATATTATAATGCATTATATAACATTATAATATATAATAAAAGCAAATAGAATTACTTAATAAAATTAATTAGTAAACTACTAAACCGTACATATATATAACATATAAAAGTACAAACTACAAGTTATGTTGGAGAACTCATCAAAAAAAAACTAACAATTAAAGATGAAATTGTTTTCATTATATATGGTATATGTGAACATATTGTTTTTCCTTAATTCGATAAAGTGAAATATTATTTATAGATTGATTAATGAGATTTACATATTAATAAATAAACAATACTGATATTTATTTTTAATGTTAAGTATTTATTTTTCTTTTTATTGTATATATAATATTTTGATTTTTGATAATTTTTTTATCATTTTCTATAAAAATCCATGACAAAATATTTGTTGATAAGTGCTCAAGCTATATCGGAACACTGTTGATAAAATTATATGTCAATTGGGTTAAGATGAATTTTCGCCAAAGTTAAACCTTCGAGGCTTAATGAAAGCACAAAAATAATTTCAAACATACAGCAAATATTGGAGTGACATGCGTTGATAAGTGTAGTAAATTAAGGCACGAGATAAATATAAAAACTGAATGAATTAATATGAAATATAATAGAATGGTTTAAAAATATCTTTGCAAACAAAAAGTTAAAATGTAGAAATTCACATTTCATTATCAAAAGTAAATTAAACAAATATATATGAATAAACGTGCGTAAAAGTACGTAGTGAATGGCCTTTGCTAAATGTAATATATACTCGTACAAAACACATTATTTGGATTTTGCACTCTACATTGCAAGTGAAGGTATTCTCAATACAACACATGTTACATTTTCTTGAATTACAACTTTGTTCTAACTGAAATAAAAAAACTATTGAAGAAAATAAATCCTTACAAATTATTTTTGGCAGTGTACTTTCGTAATTCTAACTAAAGTGTTTACTTTGTTCACTTAAAAACGTATTTATATAGCTAAAACCACACAAGTACCTCGTAAATATTTATTGCGATAAAATTTTAAGTAAAGATACAAATGAAAAAGTTTGTAAAGCGGAAGCTACTACGCGATATTTAAATATGACAATATTGCATTATTCTAATATTGTAAATTGAATAATATTTTAATGCAAATTTATTGCACTAGTAATACTGATTTATAAAATAAATTCATATTATTTTTGTGTACATTTGTACACAAAAAAACACACACATTTGTGTATAATGTTTTTATAACCAATAAAAATTTTGGTTCTATTATAGAAATAACATACGTTGACAATTATTGGTCTGAAACTGTTTCTTCTTTAAAAAAATCCTTTTTAAAGGAATAACGAAATTAGATTTATAAAATAGAGATAAGAGGTTTATCAAATATTTTCTCAAAAAATTATTTTAATCTAGTGTATGAATGCCTAAGAACGATGAATAAAGAGCGCTAACAGCATTAGGAAAAAAACACAAACAAAGAAAGAGAAAAGAGAGCGAAAGAAAGAAACAGAGAAAAATGAAAGAGAGAAAGAGGGAAAGAGAAAGGAGCGAGAGGCTGAGAGAGAAAGAAAGAAGGCGAATGAGAAGAGAAAGTAGAGAAAGATATATGTGTATCAAGAGAAAGAAATTTGAAAAACGGAGATAACTAAAGAGGGAAATAAAGAAAGAGAAGGAAAGAAAAAGAGGAAGAAAGAGAAAAACGGAGAGAGAAGACAAAAGGAGAAAGAGAAAAAGATAGATATAAAGAAAAAGCGACGTATAGAAAAATAGCTAGTAAAACTGAACAATGACAAAATGTGGAAGAGAAAAAGAAAAGTATAAAATGAGAGAAAAAATGGGAGACAAATGCAAGAAAGAAAAAACTACAAAGAGAACGAATGAGATTGACGGAAAGAGATAGAGAGGCAAAGAAAGAGAACGAAAGCAAAGAAATAGCGAGTAAGAAAGCAAATAGCAGAGGGGAAGGATAAACATAGTTGGAGAAAGAGAGAGTTGAATACAAAGATTGAGTAAGATACTAAAAAAGAGAGACAGACACAGTTACAATTAGTTGTAAATAGAGAGAAATAGAGATGTGATATAAAAAGAGAAGAAAGAAAAATGAAGAGAAAGTCGAATAAAATTAAATAGAAACAAAGCGAAAGGGAAATCAAAATAAAAAGAGAAACAACTAAAGGGAGAGAGAAAGTTAGAGACGAAAAGAGAAAAAAAGAGAAAAGTAATTATAAAGCGAGAGCTAGAGAGACATTTAGAAAAATATAACGACAAAAAAGAAAATAACAAATAATAAAGACAGAAAAGAAAAAGAAAGGGAAGAGAAACGAAGGGAAGAGAAACGAAGAAAAGAGAAAACAAGAGGTAAGAATGTGAAAACATAACTAAAGGAACAAAAATAAGAAACTTTATGCTAATAGATATTAAAATTTAATTTTAAAATTTATTTAGACTCATTAAAAATAATATTGTTTTGTTTCAGAAAGAATTACATGAAATGTATAAAAAGAAGATAATTAAACAACTCTTTATAAATTAAAAATTATAAAAATTAAATCAAGGATTCTGAAATTGCTGCAATAGTATAATAATATGTCATTTTTAAAATAAGTAATTTAAAATAAAATATATTAAACGAATAGTTTATACGGGTTTAAATAAAACATATAAAACGGAATGTAAGATAATAAAATATAAAACAAATAAGTTTTGAAATAATTATAAGTTTTGGAGCACAATATATACATATATTATATACTTTAAGTAGGTATTCATGCTGTTTTGTGCACTCTTTCAAAATTAAGGTTTTGCACTTGTTAATGTTTTTTTTTTAAATCACAGTACAAAACTTAACTAAGTATGTTAATTATAAAATTTTAAGTAATGTAACTTTTTAAATACAAAAACAAAGATACGTGCTACTATTTATTAGAATAGATCCAGAATATGTACGAAATGTTTATCTTCATTACTTTATATTTTTAGAATATTTTTAGAAATCTATGTTTTCAAAAACATTTTTTTTTTTTTCATTTTCAACAAATTATTTATTTAAATAAATAAAAGTACTTTTTAATTTATTTACATTTATGACACTGCATCAAAATGTCACATTATCTAGAAACTAAGGTGTGTGATGCTCTTAAAGATATTATGGCACCTCAAAAATAAACATACGTGTAAACAATTGTGCGTTTTATTAAAAACCGGGTGCAATACGATATATTATATCTTTTTTTTTTTAATTTTTATATAAAAAGTTATTTCTTATACTCTTTATATAGTAAACAGAATGTTTAATACACATCTACATGCTTTAAGTATGTTGTGGTGCATTTTTACTGAAAAGCAAATAAAAATTAAAACTTAGTGCGACATGTGGAGACAAGTGAAAAACTTAGTGAGTCATAGTAAAGTTCAAGTACTTAAATAATAAATTAGAATAAAATTTAATTATGGTAAAATATTATATATCACTCGCAACTCGTCTCTCTCGGCAAAATTTTTCTGAGG